GAAGCTGCGTTACCTCTGTTCAGCCTCCGAACCCACGTTTTGCTGGATTGTGAGATGCAAGTCAGCCACAGTAAAGAAAAGCCTGTTCGTCGAAAGTCGGCTGTGGAGGCCACAAAGGAGGAGATCCTGAAGCCGGCGAACCGACAGGAGGCGTCATAGGGGTGCAGGGAGTTCAGGTCAGCATTTCAGGTTTTGAATTTAGGTTTTTAGGGTTCAGCGTTCCAGGGTTTGTAAAGTCGTTTCTAAGAGGTCCGATGATCTGTCGAAGTAATACGCTTAGAGGTGCGGGATTTGGAATTCAGCGTTTTAGGGTTTAGGGTTTCACGTTTAGGTTTAGGCGTTCCATCTTTAGGGTGTACTTACACTTTTATGCGTTAGGGTCCAAGTCTGAGGGGGAGGATTAGGAGATCCAGGTTTAGCTCACCAAGCGAATTCTTCGTTTGGAAGTGTTGATGTGAGCCTCGACCCCGGCGACAGAGCCAATCAGCCGCCTTCTCAAAAGTTGTGGACAACCTGCACTCAAATCTTGATTCACATGCCGCCCTTACTGCCGAGACACCAGGCATACGAAAGCCCTGCCCGAATGTCTTGACGTTTTGTAAGCGTGTCAGGACACGGCGGTTTGAATCCTTTGGACAGATCGAGACTGGTATGGGTCGCAACTCGAACGTGCGCAGCTGCAAGGCCCGCTAGGCTACGAGGGACCCTTTCCTACCACGGAACGAAAAAAGCTCCAAGCAAGAGATCCCCCACACGACTTATTGGGTAGCTTCAGGCAGAGGACAGCCGGCCGGGGGCTCAGTCTCTGCAGAACCTCAAGCCGGGTCTCCTCACTTCAGCTGTTCTTTGAGGTTCTCAGTGCCATTTGGGGCTTTGTCTTCCAACATTGGACTAGCAGTGTCTGGCAACTAAGCTGACAGGCTTCCAAAGTCTTACATATAGTGGTACCTGGGATACCAGCTTTAGAATCGCTGGAAGAGCGGCTCGCCAAGTAAAGCTAGGTTGCAAGTCGACCGTGAACGCGATTTCGAAGTTGTTCTAAGGTTTGCATCTTGTCATCCAGCAAAGGGGTTACTTCTTCAGTACTAGTCCGTGATTTGGGGATATTGGGGTTTAGCGAAAAGCTTTCATTCAAAGGCGGCTCAGATCCAGTTTTGAAGATCAAAAGATGAATCGAATCATACTCGGCCAGGACAGGAGAGGAGTAGGCACTCCAAAACAGGCAGGAAGAATTGTAAGCGTCCTCCCATAGTTCCCCTCATGATACAACTGAAACCAATACTCCTGAGAGATGGTGCAGGATATGGCAGGGCCGCGGCAACGCCAAGGCCTGCCCTCTCTGAACGCCGGACTGGTTTCGTGCTGTGGTTGGCTTGGCTCCATCTTTCTCAACATAGCTTCAATGGTGTTGGTATATAGCTGTCACAGATCAAAGGGCTTCACATGTTTCGATTTGCTGAGGGTCCTTTCAGGCATTACAAGGTCATCGTAGCATATTCGTCCCTAACCCGAAAGAAAGGCCCTAAACCAATCGGCACGGACCGTACCTGCCATGCCTGCTTTGCGAGTGTGTGAGTCGAAACCAATCGGCAGGTCTCCCAGGATGCGGTCGCCAAAGCTTTCGCGGCCAGCGGCTGGAGGGACCAAGTGAAGGCGCTTATATGTTTATATGCATTTGCGAGATTTGGGGTCTCGGGTTGGGGTGTTGATGAACCACGGTTTCAGCGATTTTGGATGTGCGTCTGCCTCATAAGTAGGTGACGTTGCATATTTTGCAGCACTTCTCCAGTTCGGATTCCGGAGTGATCATCATTCTATCCGTGAGCATGGCCGCACCCCCCCCCCCACGGCGGCTCCCGCAAATCAAGTCGTAAGTTGATTGGCAGTATGTCGAGCCTTACCTGCAGGGTCCCCAACAACGCGTTTGCAGGCCTTTGCCTACCACCGTTTGAGGGCGATGCGTTTCCGCGCAGGCGAGCACTTCAGAAAGGTTTGGCTTTCGGGTCTTGGAGAAGGGGAGTGCAATGCTGTGCAGAGGCCGGATCGTGCCAGGTTCATGACACTTGCACGGGGCACTGCCCACCTGTCAAGACGGCTGCCTGCGATGCCCTAAGCCCAGTCAGAAAGGCGACATGGACGAGCCCACGCCAACCGATTCCGTCTGGATCTGAGACTTGAGAGCTGAGCTGGACATCGATACCCAGTCTCATGCCATGGTAAGTGTGCTGTTTCTTGGGCCGTGGCCAGCGCCTTGTGTGTCGCTCTTGCTTCAACGTAAGCTTTAGAGGTCCTTTTGCTTCCCTCATGTAGCGGCCAGCTGCATTGCTGCATGTTAATGCCAGGCCCAAAGGCCCGGTACCTGTTGACGTCCCCAAAGCCCTGCTGCATCTGAGCTTGTTCCGCAGCTTGGCTCTGACACACGCATCGCGAGGGCGTGCAAGTGTCCAGGGCTGCTTTATTGCAGAGGGCACCTTACGTAGGATATCGCAGGATGCAGACCGAGGTTAAAACGAGATGCAATCCAGGCCAGGCATACTCTCCCCGGGATCTCGCTCCTCGCGGTAGAGACGGCAGTGGCAGCGGGCATGGCCGAGTCCAGCGAGGAGGCCTCTGAAGTAGAGAGGCTTAAAGCCCACGCATACGCAGTAAAGTACATGTTTCAGCCAATGTCTGGGATTTACGCGTCCCAGACTCGCTGATCCAGGATTTGAGCTTCGGAGAGCCTGGAAGCCCGCAGACCCCGAAGCCTCCCAGGAGGAGCAGCCGGCCCCAAGCCAGCCAGCTGGTGATGCGCCTTGGGCACCGATAAAACTGCACGGTGACCTTCTGCTGAAGCCGGAGCCCAGAGGCCAGAGCTGCATCTTCCGCGGAAGCAAGGTCGAGACTCGAACCGCTCAGCGAATCGAACAAGATCCGCAGCTCACCTTCCCGAAGATGGTGGTGCTTTGGCTGAGATGTCGCTGAGGTGTACATGAGCTGTAAAGATTTGAAAGCCTTCGAGAGTGTCCAGCTCTTGTTCCACCCGGTACGCCGTGTTCTGGAGCACGGATTTAAGCGACAGTCTGCATCCAACAGAACGTTCCTTTAAGACATGTCGTGCTTGCAGTGAGATGCACAAGTGTGGAAGCCACCTTTTCGTCCTGCGTGCTTCAAACTGAAACTTCCTTCCCGCTTTGGCGTCTGCCAAGTTCAACGGCGCTGTCGCTGGGTTGATGTACATGCCACCTGGCGAAGACCGGTCCGACACAGGGTTTGTGGAGTCTCAGGGCCCTTCGCCTGTGTGTAGTTGGGGGAGCAAGCAGTCAACAGCTGTCACAGTAACCCGGTGGTGATGAAAGTACGATGAGAGGATCGAAACCCGAGCCAGAGCCAGACTCTAGAATCCCCTGATCAAGAAGGAATGTTCAAGTATTTTTCGAATTAAACCTATAACAATCGGCAACCTTCATTGCGGGATCCACAACAGGCGTTGGCGGGGGGGATTCTCTGGCGCTTGAGGTGGTGTGACCTTCTCGGCCGCCCTGTCTACCCCCTCGCTGCCTATGTGGCGCTTCTGTGCCTCGGCTTGAGACGCAGGAAGGGCGAAGGACATTCTAAAATGAGGCGGTGGCGAGCTTGTGCTGAGGGTCTGTACCCGGAGCTGAGGATTTCCCCACTCCGCTTGGGGTGGACCAAGAGGATGCGCTACGAGGCAGCTGCGGGCTGCGCCCTAACCATTAGAAGTCGGGTCAAGCCTAGGACGGATCTCAGGGGAAAGGGTGAGGTAGTCAAGCTGGGTACCTGCACTGGAGTTCCCAGGTGCGGTCCATGATCTCCATCTACTTCTTTGCCTGCCGGCGGCAGTGAACCCAAAATCCAATAAACCCCTAGCTTTTTTGTGGGGCCTCGGGAGCTCCCCCGACCACCAGACTAGCAATGGCACAGCTAAAAGCAAAAGAGTCGGAATTGTCACAATGATGGTAGCCGTCATGGACTCGGCCATGCTGAAGCTTACAATAAAAAAGTCAAGGCGTTGAGCCGAGGTTCTGAGTGCCGGAGTTCTGCCCGTTTGGTGCCTGAAGCGCGGTGGGCAGGCGCAGACCAGGGACCCCTTCCAGAATCCGGGCTTTCCAGAAATCCAAGGGTTTGAGGTTTGAGCTCGTTCGAGTTTGGGCGTTAGGTTCCCGTCTCAGGATTTAGGGTTTCCGAAACCGTGTCCTTCCTTTCATCCTGATCGGATGTGCGCGCCGACTTTCAACCCTGGCCATTAGAGCAGGTGGGCCGCGCGATCTTTGGACACCAGACTTGATTAGAGGGTGCGGTTGGGTTCAGGGCCTTTGTTCTCGACGCGATGCTGACCGGAGGTTGCAATCGCTTGCACAGTTGGGTCGAGCTTATAGATTCCAAGGTTTCCACCACCGTTTGCAGTCTTGTCAGGCGTTCTTGTTGCTTCAGGGCATGTGCAATTTGAGCGGGCTGATGAATGTGCACTTGGGCGGCATGGGGTTTCATATCTTCTGCTTGCTAAGAATTGTGGCGAGTCGCTTCTGGAAAAGATGCTTTGCGGGTTGGAAAACATGGCAACCAACGCAAATCGATGGTTTCGGCACCGTCCAAGACGACGAATCTTCAGCCTTCGGCCCAGGACTTTATGTGGCATGGTACATGCTGATGGACGACGCGCCACTGCGAGGCGCAGCAAAGCCCTGAATAGTCGGATCCCGAGAATGATCCCTAAATATTTAGGGGCAGCAAGGAGATTCGGAGACAGCCGTCCCTCAGGCGGCCGCTTCCTCCCGTCCCTTCGGAAGCGCTTGTTCTGGAAACACTTTGCAGACGCTTTTCTTTGTTAAGCTTCTGCCACATCGCTTGCAGAAGTTTACCGGGGTGCATCTCTGCAGTAGTCGAGCACATCGTTTTAGCAGTTCAGCGGTTCGAGGACACCAGAAGCCATGTTCGAACATCTTCTGTTCTACACCGACCAATTGGTCGACTGAAAGCAGAGCTCATAGTTCGGCGCTGTTTCGGATGCAGTCAGGAATCACCGGAGCGACAGCTCTCAATGATGTTCAAGGCAGTTCAAGGTGTACAAGCTTTCTTCTCGACTAGATTTAGGACACCTGCGCAGCCAAACAGGATGAGTTCTTTCATCGAGCGACTGCAAGACAGATCGCAAGTATGCATCAGGGTGAAAGCCCGAGTATGTGGCAAACATGGCATTTGTTTCAAGGCGTATTTTCCGATGTCCTTGACGCGCACGGCCAAGCTTGACCCGACACTGGGAAGTATTCAGTCGGTGCTGGGATCAGGAAGTCTCAGAAGCTACTGCAGCAGGGCTGGGTGTAGCTGTGACTCTGTTGTTCTGCTTCACAATCAAGGCCTCCCCCAAACCCGACCAACCGAAGTTGGGTTCCTTGGTGCTGGTCTTGCATGCATTGATGTTTGGCTCTCTGCCCCCAAAGCTCATGGAAAACCTTGCAACATGCTGAGGAAGCGCAACTACATTTTCGGTTACCATCCGCATGGGGTGACGCAGCTGCCGTCAAGTCATCAGTGTGTGCTGAGCACTTCGTGTGCTTGGGGCTCCTGCTGCGAGCAGAACGCCAACCGCTGAAGCAACGTCGAAATCGGATCACTCGGGTCCAACAAAATAAAGAACAAGCGCTGTAGCGCCGCGGCCTTCGCGGTTTGTTGCTCGTGGCGAGAGCTGCAGCGAGAGCCCAGCAGAGTAGAGGCATGTCCCAGAAGGCCAGAAGGCCGAAGGGATCCCAAAAACCTCACCGGGGTCGAATCTGAAACTTTTCGGGCTCAGTAGCTCTCCGAGCCAGAGATTCGAGGTGATCAGCATGGGGGCCTTGTGCAACTTCGCCACGGAGGCCTTTCCACGGACCAGCCCCTGCAATCCCCCCCAAATCAAGCAGATAGATAAATAGTATACCGAAAACTTCCACTTGCTGCAGGAACCCGTACAGAAACCCCTTTTTAGCACCCTTCGGCATGCTTTCCCGAAAAAGCCTGGGGGCCCCAAACCAAGAGCTCCGAGAGGCGACGGACTTCTCGGCGCTTTTCCCAGGGATCGACCTGCGACTCCTCACGCTGGGCTTGAACTTCAGGAGAGGCTAAGGAGAGTTCTTTGGGGCTTGGGGTTAAGTGCTAAGGGTTTATAGGGTAACGGCTGGTTTAGGATGACTTTGATAGCAAAGGGCTTGATCTCGGGGCAACTTCAAAAGGACAGGGGCTCCCGATGTGAGGAGTCAGGAGCTAGCACGCAGTGTCTTTCTGTATTTCTAGAGAAACCGCGCGAATCCACGTGCTTTCTCAGAGCATGTGTCACAGATGTTCGGAGCTTCAAAAAGGCCCCTAAAACTGGCAGGATACCAGTGTTCCGAGAATACCTCTTGGGCATGGGGGTGCCTCGACTGCTCCCTGTCACGTGGAGGTTTTTCCTTTTATCGGTTCAGCACCAGGAGCCTTCACTTGGACAGAGGCTGCCAGGGTTCAGGGGCTTGAGGGGTTTGGAGTTTCATGACTTGCAAAGATGCAGGTGGCTTCTCAAGGGAAGAGGCCCCCACGCATGTTAGACTTCGGCGAGGTCAATGACGTGAGCCGAAAGTCCATCGAAGGCGGACCACCGGAGTCACAGGAGTCACATGGGAGTTGTGGTCCACTTCTCTCAGTATTGCAGATCTTCCGTTCCAGAGGCAACCTGGCGCGCGGGCCGGGTGCATCGGTGATGATCGTCATTGGAGGCCCCTTGCCCATGCTTGGACTCTGCTCTTCACTCAGCCTGGGGGCATCTGCAAAGGCCGATTCTTTTCTCGGCTCCTGGTGTGGCGCCAGGCGCACGCGAGTCTCTCGAGACGGCGCCGGGCACCAACAAGCTGATCCTGGGCAACCGGAAGGCAAGGCCACGGGCCTTGCCACGCCTGCTCCGGGCTCCCAGAGTCTGCTCAGGGCTTCGTGAAGCTGGCGCTGCAGAAGGGGGCCTCGCTGGTTCCGGCCAGCTGCCTTACCTTCTCCCTTAGACGAAGCTTTCTCGGATCTCCGGCGGTTCGGGTTGCGAAGGCTGGGGATTACTTTCGTCTCGATTGGGGGAAGGCTGAGGCTGTCGTAGGCTTTACGGATATTGGGTCCTATCGTCATCGCTGTGGGGTGACCAGGTCCACATCTTGTTGTCGAA